TTTTCATTTCCATGGAAACGTAGAGAGCGTAGAGTTCGTCGGGATAGCGTACGTTCGAGCGAAGCCTGAGCGACTTACACGCACGAGTTCCCCGAGCCGCAATCAATAAGAAGTCGGGATTGCTCCAGCGATTGCTTTTCAGGCTGAATGGTGGTGGAAGAAAGAGAGCAAATAGAGAGAACGCGCGGCCACGTGGGGGATGTACGCGAGCGAATAAAAGAGAAACAGAACAGTCTGCATCTATCATCGTAAATAGAGCGAGGGAAAATAACCGAGCATATGTACCGTATTCCTACCAGTCGTATCCGCGCCCCAAAAGAAGAGACGAAACTGTCTCAACGTCGTTTCGCCATCGCGAGTGTACAGCATCGTCGTATTTCAATGGACGAGTATCTTCCTGTCGTCAGGATTCATAGAAATGCCCCTGAGTATTTATGGGAGTCTACGTGCATGATTTCAAGCAAGAACCACTTGCGACAATGATGAAGAAATGAAGAAATGAAGCAGTGAGAAAATGAAGAAATAAGGAAATGAAGAAGTGAGGAAATGGGGAAATGAAGAAATGAAGAAATTACTCGAAATGAAGAAATTATTGGCGAATTCGATGAAATGTATCTATTAAATATATGAGTAAGAATTTTCTGTTTAAATTTTTTCGATAATCAATGGAATTATTGATTTTTTTCATCATCGAATCAGTCTTAATTATTTTATTGAGCTTGACGAATTTTTATGTACATTTATTTTATTTATTTTCATAGGACTGAATTTACGCAAGATTAGTTCGTCTAGTTCTTCTAGACATAATTTTTCATATTTTTTTTATAAAAAGTTGCTTGATTTATCTATTTATTTGCTATCATGTTTATTATTTCAGCGTACTTTTACTCACATATACTTTTTATATTTATTTATTAAAAGCCAGATTTAAATAAAAAGTTACATTCAAATATCACATCAACATTAATCGTGCGTTTTAACTTCAGTCTTGGCACGCAATTAGCAGGAAGTTTATTTGCATCCAAGTTTTTAGCAAAAATCCGGGTTAAAATTACGAGCCATCCGGGAGCCACATAAACTCGTTAAAAGCTAAACGAAACGAGATACGCAGCGTGCTGCTGCTACGTTTTTCGCGCTCACCCCCTTCGGGGCTGATCGACGCACGCATTGTAAGCCTGGCCATGAACAAGGGAAGGGCAGGAAAGTCCGAGAACTGTTTTACGAGGACAAGATCCCAGAGGAGGAATAGAAAAGTTAAGTGTTCGCAAACTTTCCTCCGCGCCCTCTTTCCTATCTTCCGTTTTCCTCGCATCGTTTTCATCCGCGGATGATCCGTTCTGTCGCCACCAAGTTGTGACAATGACGCTTTTCGGGCAAAGGAAAAGCGTTCTCTCGCCGTTGCCAGCCGAGAAATCGAAGACAAACAGGAGGGATTCCGCGGCAGTAGAACCGCAAGATGATAGTGCGTTTTTCCATTTCCAATACGTAGCCTGAATTGTGATCTTCGTTTCGATACTTCTATCGCTATCTTGCCGAAGGAAGAACATTTCGATAGAGTGTGCCAGATTATTCCAGTCTATTTTACGAGATGGCAGTTCCCATTTCGCGTCATAAAGTTGTTTTTCTTGATTGTGGCGCGAGTTCCAAAGTTACGATTTGATTTCGAAATAGCAATCGACAAAAAAGGGAGTCACGGTTAATGTTTGCACACACTTTGTTGATCATTCAGTAGATTTATTCTAACAATACCGCGATAAATATCGAACTCTATTATTAAGTTTTATGATGAGAAGCCTATTTTTATTCTTCAAACTGTTTAGGTGCTAAAATGTTATATATAAGAATTTTTTAGGACACTGAATTTAAATCTGATGTTAGAATTAGGATTTGACAACTGTCAACTGACAATTGTTCAAGTTTGGAAAAATATATGTTTTGTTATTAAAAATGTTACACATTGAAATCTGAGATAGTTGGATATAAATCTCAATATTCAAAATTCAGACTTGATAGTTGACAGCTGTCAATGTTGCTGTCAACTTTTATATAAAGCAGAATACGTAGTTTCGGGAATCTAAGGATACAAATCTGATATCAAATTTAGATTTGACAGTTGACAGCTATCAAAAAGCCCTTATGAATTTATTTGCTTTTTTATCTCTGAATTTCAAAATATATTTTTGTAACAAGATTTTGCAAAAAATATTTTCATATTTCTCGTTCGAAAATTAAATATAAATAATATTTTTTTAAAAATTTACAATCATATGAATGTTCTGTGCGTGTTGTTTTATCATTTTTTTACCGTACTAAATGGGAAGTTTATTAATAGACTCCAAGAGGTGGCTTATTTTTCATGTAACACTATACATATAAATAAAAATCATAAAAAATCACGAAAAAACCTATCTATCCTCTAAAAATTAAAAAATATAATTGTTCAGAGAAATTTAATATAATTTAATATCGATATTTTAATGAATCTAATAATAAAAGATTATTTATTTATTTTTTTAGTTAAAACCTCTTAATATCACACAACCATTACGTTTCGGTAATATCGATTAATATATTCCAGGAGAAAATATTTTAAACTTAATTCCACTACTATTCAGACGGTTCAAGCCCACTCAATCCTATTCTAGCTCAATCGCGGCTGATATTTTCTTTCCTTATACGACGTCACGTTCTGTTGACCACTATCCCCAAAGAGTATGCTACGTGCGCATCTAAGCGACCAACAGCTATATTGCACCGAGTACCTACGTATCGTCAACTTTTACCTGTTTCCGCTCTTGCCTCGGTCTCTCGAGATTTTCGCCAAGTAAAAACGCACAGATTCAAAATCGTATTCGGGGACATCAGCTTCGATTCGGGCGCGAGCTTCTGAGGCTCACGTACCTTAAGTAAATACAGGACTTTCGTTTTATAGCGATAAAATTCGAACATGCGAGTTTAAACTAGAGCAAAATATTATTATTTTTTGAAAAAAATTACATCTTAATTTAAAGAATTAATATTTAACAAATTGAGGCGAATCATTAGCTGTGCGAGAATATGATAAATTATTTTATTAGTAATGATCTCGGTTTTGTGATTAGAATTTAATGTAAATTTTTTTTAATAAATGCTCCAATTTACTATACATAACTTGTTATTTTATGTTTTATAATATTAGTTGAGAAATCAATCGCACGTATTAAATATATCAGAATATTTTTTATAAAGATTAAAAGAATTTTCTCTTTCAATATGATACTGTGATTATTATAAAAAATAAAAAAGTGATGTTGAAATATAAAACATGCTGTCAATTATTGAAGATGTAATTTTAATATTAATGTAATACATAATTAATAAGATTAATTTTAATATTAATGTGTAATACATAATCAATAAATAAAATCTAAAAAATATGTGTATATTAAAAGAAATGTAAATGATATAATTAATAATAGGTATCTCTTTTCTTAATATATTAGATGTTTATCTTGTAATCTTAGAAAATTTACGAGGAAAAATAATATGATACGCGTATATTTTTGCAGCATTATAGTGCGATCTGAGGGCAAATAATACTAAGAGCTATTACAAAGCTTTAATAACGAATGAAAATGCTTCACATTCTCATCGTTTAATTAATTCCTTCCGGCCGCAATGTGACGGTGAAAAAGTATTTAATTACTCTACACATGGTGCGTAACTTTTATGTAATCGTTAGCCGTATAGCTTCACGCGGTAACATTAAAACATTACGATGGTTATTATTCGGTCATATTCATTAAAAAATATTATCATAATCACGATGTAATGCTAGCCGTAACGGCTTTTTATCTGAGAGAACGAATTAATGTAACAAATTAAAAAATTTCCTTTTTCGCATTCCTGCAGAAATTTTGTTACTAAAACGCGGCGTGTTTTTGTACGACTAAAATAAAGATAAATTCGCAATGCCACCTCGCGCATTAGCGTTATTTTTTTTCAAATAATTAACAATTAATGTATAAAAAGATTATTTATAGATTATTATATAGTTTGCTTATATTTTCTGTAATGTTCTCTAATCAATCTGGATATTCTCGTTAACATGTTCTTTTCATTTGTAACTTATTCATTTCATAGTGAAACATCTTCTTTGACTCGCTGAATCGCCTACAACTCTACGTGAACGTGAAACATAAATACGTGAATTATATACTGTTTGAGCTCTAGTTTATTTGTTTCAATAAAACCTAACTACATTAAACAGATTAAAGGAATGCATTAACTCCGCACGACGTTTCTCGAGCAGGTCGTCAAAAGTTTATAAAGCCGATAATTAATGCGTTGCCACTGTAACACAGTTAATGCGATGCCGGCTGTTATAATTAAATTTAGAACAGCAGATAGTGTGCGCAAGGTAGTTAGCCGCATCCTACCTACAATGGGGTTGAACACAATGCGACACACCGCACAATGTTATGTTCGTCAGATACCAATCGCGGCAACAATATATCTCGCGCATGACCGACGTCACGAGAATCACAATACAATTTGTAACTCGTGGACGTATGTAACTCATCTAATCGAGTCTCGGCTAATTTCTATCGTTTATCCCTTAAGAACAAGTACTGATTAGCTGATGATGGTGAGTCAGTAACTTGTGATGTTCTATCAGTGACTGATTAAAAGAGTCAGTTATTGGTAAAGCTCCTCAGTTTCAATGATCAGTTTCTACATTATTTTGAAAAACTGATTAAACAGTGAACGTTACTATCTGAGGACTAGTCTTTGATCAAAACTGTTCGATTTGACCAGTTTTTGTATCAGTAACTGCTTTAATATACTGATTATGCTGTCATCAGTTAGGATGATCATTCATCCATCAATAAGTGCGCAGTTTTTTTATCAGTTTTAACTGTTTTACTTTCTTAAGGGATCCCACGAACAGAAAAATTGTTCCTTAACGAAAGGAAAAACATCGACATTCTACTTCAGTAAAGATTTTATATCGAACTCACCGGTGATCTTGATGTGATAGGGTAACTGAGCTCGCCACGTGTCCTGCATTTTCCGATCGGGCGCGACGCACCGATATTCCCCAGCCTCCTGGTACACCACCCGACTTAGGGCGAGGGGTCCGGGCCCACCTACCGGATCCATTCCCGGTCCATGGCCCCAACAACCGCCGTCGCACTCGAGGGTAACCGCGCCACCGATCTGCACCTCCATCCTTCGGGAATCGGTCGCCTCGCCGTTCAGGGCCTCCGCCTCGGTCTCCATATCTGGATCATCTAAATGCGATTAATTTAAATCTCTCGACGCGCGATAAACTCAAGAGTCGAACTTAAACGTGCCGCCATTTTCGTATACATTAATAAGCGAAATTAAATGACTCATGATGCGAGTTTGACATTCATCTGATGCTTTTACACATTTCTTCTAGTATGCGGATTATCTTTCTGTATTTTGCAAAATATGGAAAAATGTAGTTATAAAATAAAATGACGCTTTAAAATGGCAATGTCTCTACTACCTAGGAAACTTGAAGTTGCCAGGGAAATTTTTATAGCTGGAAAAATCCGGAAATTCTCATGCAATTTTATTCAGGAAATTCTTTTAAAAATTCCGTCTCTTTGATATTTTGCTCTTATATTATAAAGTGAATTATATGTTTAAAATATATTATAAATAAATAAATAAATATATATATATATATAATAAATTATATTATATAAATTATATTATAAATTATAATATAATTATATAAATATATAATATATTTATATATATTTATATATATTTATATATATTTATTATATATATTTTATTTACATATTTTATAATATACTTTTTATCTTTGTTTATAATTAATTGTCTCTTAATAAAATATTAAAAATATTATTTTAAGCAAATATTTTTAGTGTAATTTTTAGTAATTAAAAAAATGAAAATTTTATACATGTGAAAAATGCGTATCTTACAAAAGTTATATTCAATTTTTTTTCTCAGTAGATTTATAAATAGCACTTAAAACTTTATAGGCTCTGTGTTTTTCCTTCATATGAATAAAAAACATTAGGAAACGCATACATAAAAAAATTTATTTTAAGAAAGTTACATAAAAAATCTTTTTAAAATACTTTCTTTTTCTGGAATTTCGAACAAAAATGCTTGAAAAATCAGTGAATTTTCATTTTTCTTACATTGAATAAACATCCTGAATGAGATTTTGATTTGCACATGCTTAGAAAACCAGCAAATAATTCCTACATTTTACATTAAATATATTTAATAAATTTTTAAATATATTTAATAATTCTTACATTTTACATTAAATATATTTAATAAATTTTTCAATATTTTGCAATTATACAAAGATATTTTTTAGAAGAAAATGCTATTTAAAATATGTCACGTATTGCAAATTTTATAAGATGCACTTAAAGATATCTGGCATACATTCACTTCTTGTTATTTCGAATCGTTGATTCGGTATCGCTCACCGTCATCGATATCAAAGAATTACTTTGGTATCAGAAATCAGCGGCACGTACGAGGGATGAAGTTGAAACGGAATCTCTACTCTCACGTGCCGGACTTGACAAAATCTTTTCCACCGCGACATTACGTCGCGACGTACTGTCCGTTCCAACTTCTACCTCTCTTCATCCACTCCCCCCGCCATCCTTTTCCGATTCCACCTATGGAATTATACGGCTACGATAGTTTGCTCTTCAGCTAGCACTATGTCCACAGTTACAGAGAGAAGTAAAAGGAGAGAGAAGGGGGACGAGAGGATAGATGAGGGTGTGTGCGAGGATTGCTCGTGTCTCTGTTTGAGAATTAGAGCCGGACTGCTACGGTGGAATTCGGCCGAGAAAGAGAAAGAAGCGGGGGATGGGGGAGAGTCCTTTGAGTTAGCAAGCTGATCCTCTGGCTCATCCTATAGCAAAACAAAGGGATCAAAGTGGCGCGGATGCGTAGGAGGCTTTTACTTTCTCTCTTTCGCTCGCTCGACTCCCGACTATGCCTCGTTTGTCTTGCAGTTTGTTCGGAATTTTACGGCAAACATCCCTACCGCGGCGCTTTAACAAACACGGGAAAGAGAAAAGAGAAAGGAAAGCCCGGTAATCAAACCGGTAATTTGACATTTTTCGTCAGCCAGCATTACTTCTCTTTCTGATGCTTCTTGTTATCTCCAAATTTGATAGATCCTCGTTCCTTCTTCCGCGACTTGATCGTTCCAAATCTTAATGCGATTCGCGTGCGCTAACACGATTAAGAATCTCATACGCTCGTCCGTCTGTGATCGCGTTATCTCTAATTACTTTGATATGCCTTTCGTGTTTCTGCTAATTAAATTATGCGCATCTAAGGTGCTTTGTTGAATCTAACATTTGAATATTAGAGAAGAGATATTTCGTGCGAAATTACAAAGTATCTTGCCGATAGAAACAATTTAATATACGATAATTTCCTCTGAGATTACATAAATTTGTGCACATTTAATTATTGTCAAACATTAGATTTTGATAGTATATATGAAGGATATGTTCGTGTTGTTTATCTTGATAAAGACGAGGTGAGAAAAATCTATTCGCGTGCTGATAATGTTGATTCCCCGCCCTGTTAAGGTGCTCCTTTAAACTACGTCCTATCTGTAGACTGTCTACAAGCCGGCGAAATTAGCGCGTCGGTTTAAACCCACCGTGACGTTATCCGGCGGATAAGTAATCCAGGAGGAGATTCGAACAGGACATAGTAGCAGTGTAATCGATAATTCCCACGGAGGAGGATGGTTGGTTTATAGGTGCTCTCCAGCCATCTAAATTGCGTAGAGATTAGGTGCTCGGAAACCCGTATCCAGCATCGTCGGTCGAAGGAGCAGACGGGAGCGAGCGAGACGGGGAGGGAGAGAGGGATAGAGGACAGGAGAACGGGCGAAGAAGGACGAGGAGGGCGAGTTTGAAATGCAGGGAGCGCATCGCCCTCTGGTTATAATGGCAAGATGGAAGGAATGGGGCTAGGTAGGAAATTTGCAAATTTTCACGACGGGGCACGGATAATTTCCGGTTGGCTCGGCGGTTTCCGCTCTTGACAAATGACTGTGGTATCCGGTTATTGGCTGCAGCGACGACCCCCTTCGCATTCCGAATCAAGGAGAATGTCTCTTCGAGTGCTATCAAATGCGCAAGGAGTAGACAATACACCAGCAAAAAAGTGTAACTGCAGACTTAATTATCTCTCTTCGTCTGCTGCGGTTCCTTTATATATTTTTTTTTCGTTATATGGTATTATTTTAATTTATTCTAATATTTTAACCTGATTTATTATTGATATTATTTTAATTTGCAACTGTTAAATTTATCGAAATATTTATCTTAAGAAAGAAATCTATTATAATAATCTGATAAAAAAAATAGATAAGCTTCTGTAAAAAAATAAACATTTCTAATACCCTTAAAAATACAGAAGAATAGATTTTTAATTAAATTATTTTATATCTTGTCACATTGCCCACTTATTTTCATATTAGTAATAAAGATCATGTCACACAATCATAACTAAAGAAATTAATAAGACATAAATATCGTAGAAAGCAAATCATGCTGCAAAATTATTTCTTGGAAATCTTTTCACATGTGCCCTTACTTTGTTTCCTTTATTTTTTTTATCAGACAAAATGCATTTATTAGCTCGGGATGTGCGCTCCCACTCGAATGCGCTGGGAATCCTATCTACGTTATTCAAAGCGACAAAATGGCGTGACAACGATTTACTCACAGCGAACATTGAGAAAATATCCGATGCTGGTGAAAATGCCGAGCATATGCCGCGTATAGCACTTGTACCAGCCGCTCTCGGCCCGAGTGATTTTTGTGAAGTTCAACCATCCGTCATCGCTCTGCTCTACGGGGGGTGGTCCATTGTCTGAAACACAAGCGGAAAGCTGGTGGATATACGAATTAACGCGCTGGAAACAGCACGCACGGTCCGCGGATTTACGTTAACGTCGTCGCGCAGTTAACGCCAGCCAAGCGAGCCGGCTTCTCTCTGTGTAACTGATTTCGCGACATTTTTTTCATGCAACTGCAGCGCACGTAATTCGACAATTAATTGCTCAAAATTGACTATTATCCGGAATAAAGAAGAAACGAATAAAAATTTAAGGATTTCTATTATTTCGTTTCTACATAGCACGCTTATTTGCACGATTAGATTAAGTTTCTATGCAAACTTATACGTATAATAATGCTAATATATATATTATATGTGTAATATATGTCTACAAGTAAATAAAATACAAGCAAATAAAACATTTCAGAATATTATTTCAATATTTTTTATTAATGATATTTTTTTCTGTAACATTTTGTTTTGAGATATTATGTCACATTCAAACTCCCAAAAGAGCAAAAATCTTTAGTATATCTTGACAAATTGCACGTGATTTATCATCATAATAATACACTTGGGTAGAATTTTTTGATCGATATACATCTTAATTATAGAGCAACTAATGAACGAACAGCACAAAAACAATCAACATTTCAACGATGTTATATTTGTGTTGAAGTTAATGAAAGGATTTTGTGAGCACTTGATGTGTAAAAAGAGTGAATCATTTTTTATATATTTGTATTTCGTTTTTTGTTTAAAATTAAAATATGATTTGACTTTTTCATGATTGTTTATTGTTAAAATTATAAAAAACTTCTATTTTATATTTTTATTTTATGTAGTATCAAAACAAAGCATCGTAAAAAAAAATCATCAATAAAAAATGTTTGTTTAGTTATCTGTTTCCCTTCAATGTTTGTCTAATATCTTAACTTGTATATATCCTGTTCTTCTCACATTTTATACTCTATATACAAATATAAATATACATCGTTTTTGGCAAAGTTTATTTATGGTGCTTTATTGATGATCAATTATCTTAATATTTGGGCATAATAATAATTACATCATTAGATATAATTATATTATATCATGAGATGAAATTATTATCGCGAAAATTTCAGTGCGATTCTGTCTTCCTTAAATTATTCTTAAATTGTAACATCCCTAGTACAATGTCACTTACTCCATGGAGTAATCTAATTATGCCGATTATAAAACGTATCCTTTTCGTGATTAAAGCTACTTTGGCGAATGAAAATTGCACCAACCATTGTCTGCTTGTTCTCAACGATTTAAACCAAAAGAGAGACAAAGCTGACAAGTCATTCGTTTGAATTATTCGCAAGATAATTAAGATAATTACGAAATATGTCAGTCCGGAGCTTAACGCATGTCGGGATTAAAAATGATTACTGACCAAACGTCATGTGGCCGCTGAATTTCGAGATGAAAATGATCGAACTGAGGAAAGAAACAATGAGAGCGGAAAGAGACGCCTGAGAGGACATTTGTTCGACTTATTCATAAGTACGGAAGTGGTTCTGAGAGAGCCAGGATATCGATGGAAATTTCGCTGCCCTTTCTTTTCCCACTATTTCGGCACTGAACGATCATCCCTCGTTCTCGTTGCAACGAAGCCAAGGGGATTCGATGCAGCTGTCGGATTCGCTAGTTGAAAGTATACTCTCGCGAATGTGGAACTACCTCGGTTTTCGGGAAACAAAGAGAGAGCGTAGTCGAAAGACACGATCGTGAAAGGTTATAGAGAGCTTGCAGGAAAGATATTCAGGAAAGAAGGCGAGGGAGAGGATGGCACGTATCGAGGCCAGACGCGAAGTTTTGTGGTGAAACTTTTATATGGGCCAACCGTAATCACGAGAGGGGATGTAGCGGTTATTTTACTAAAGAGGCTGCTCGCCTCTCCACGCACGCTGCCAAAACGTGCTCGATTGTGTTAACGGCGATCTATAGCGATATTCCGGCAAACTCGCCGAAATGTCGTCCCGCTTTACATGAAATAAACCCGAGCCATGACTTGGTATAAAAAGCACGACATTTCCGGTAAGCCCGGCCGGGACTCGGCCAATTTGGCTAAAGAACAAACGAAAGTGGATCGAGATGAACGCAATGCAGAGAATATTCCGCCAAAATTGTAAATAAAGAGAGATTTTCCTTATGGATTTGCGTTTTGTTTCAGATTATCGTGCTTTTATCAAGGGAATCTCTCAATCTATCTATTTTATCGACGAAACACTATAATTTTTGGGCAGATGCCATTTTTTATTGCCTGCATATAATTAAAACTCCTTTTCTACGGTTGAAGTATAGATGCAAACGGACACGAGAAAGCCGATTATATACTGGAAAAGAAAAAAGGTACAAAATTATATTTATTTATCGACTTCTTAGATCAACATGGCGTCTAAAGCTATCACTTTATAAAGACATTATCCTTGTACAAATATCTTGTAGCTTTTATGCATAAAATAATAGCATATCCATAGTAGACTGCACAATAAAAACTTGTGGAACTGTGAAAATTGAGTTTAGTAATCTAATTAATAAATGGTACCTGCTCAAACATTTCGGTTCGTATGTACCTAGAATGTCAGTAAAATAGAGTAAAAAAATCAGTGCATCCTCTTTGTAAATAACGTGATAGAGAGAGATACAGGATAAGGATTTAAATGAGGGCTGTATCGTGTAAGAGTTCGTCATTTAATTAGAGATTCCCTCAATATGTGGGATTTCTCAATCATTTATTTAAGAAAATTAAAATATTGCTATTTAAACAAAAACTCATAAAATTGCGAATGTAGAGCAGTATCCTCAGTTTTCTCCGTATATCATGGGAATATTGGTGCCCTCGCATCGCACGTCATCTCCGAATGAACATGATCGTATAAAGATCGACTTCCCCTCAAGCGATTTCACACAGCTGACGCACTCGTTTCTTCTCGCAGAATGTTTCCCTGCGTGCAACGTATATACGGTGTGATAGATCGCCCGACAGAACCATGATAAATTATTTTCGCGTTTTTACTTTGACTCATCGTTTGAAAGTTACCGCCCGACATACGTTGCAAGATGTCCGCCGATGGTTGAATAATGGGAATCCTAGCCGACTCGTTGTCAATTCTAGCTATTATTTAAACACATTCGTTCGTCTCAAAGCGACAAAGTGGCTTTTGCGAAGCGATATTGTAAATTTGCGTGCGATTATATATTCGTTACGATGCGGGGAATCGGGAGAGTCCGAATTCGCTCTCTCTCTACAAAGGGCGCTTTGAAGAAGACGCGAACGTGCTTTCTCGAGGCATGCGGATTGGGACGGTTTAATAAGAGCAAGCGTACCAAAAAGAAATTGGAAATGAGCGGTGAGTTTGGGGGAAAGGCTCTCGCGAACGGCGAAGGCATTGCCCCGGAGCGGGTACGTGCTCCAAAGGATATTAAAGTATTTTAATTGCAGCGGATCTCGCGGAACGCTGGAAGGATTTATTCGAAATCACTCGATTGAGTCTATGAATAGGGATTAAGCTTGGCCCCGGCGGTACGCGCCGTCGCGTCGGGAGCGAATTCCAGACGTCAGAAGAGTGGAAGGCAGAAATAATTGAATATTTAATAGGATAACTCACATATAGCCGCCTCCCATCGCAGCAGCGTCATCCGTCACGACGACGGGACGTCGATTTTTTCTGTCACGTTCCGCGTGCCGATTAATTATACAGTCTGCCCGCGCGTAATACGAAGACACAGACGACTTTAATAAATCTAGTTATTTCGTAGCTCGTGCACAAAAAAAATTATTCCGCCAATCCGTGGTACATCCTCGTGCTATAAAAGGCTGCGATTCCCCGACCGCGGTAGAAATATTGATACAGGCCGGAAGCGGAGTCGTTCTGGAGCAAAATTGGAGCGATATGCATCGCACGAGATGTATCAGAGATACAGCCCGCTGCTGAAATATTATAGTCGTCATAGAAACGGTTATATTGTCTGTATCGAAATTTAATTAATTTAACAACGAGATGCGGTGAGGATTATTCTGCAAGAGATTAAATTGCAGAGATTATTAAATTTAACAAATAATTAATATGGCAAACACAATGTGCAACTAACAGCAAGAATGTTTCGTTATTGCTGTATATTAAAAATATTTTTGGAAACTTGCATCACGCAAACTATGTTTACACGCAAATAATTGCGTAATTACTTAAAAGTTTCAACTTTATCTTGATTATGACACTAGGCGTAAGATTTGCTCGCATGACTAAAAGAAATATTACAGAAAATTGCAGCATCGCGAACAAAGCTCTGCTCTTATCGAGAATTTATTTCTCATTTAATTCTGTAAAAAGTGTGGATAAGAAATCTTTACGCACTCCGAGTGCCTAATTATCCCATCGTGATATAAGAAATCAGAGAATCCCTGATGGAAAAAGTCGCAGTCGGATGTATGAGCCAAATTGTTATTTTAAAGCAGTATTTGGCAATAATTCTTGTGGAAATCACAGTGCCTTCTGACGTTTGGTAATAACAGGTCGTCCATCATAGTTCTTATCACTCGTCCGTGGCTGATCGCAGCGGAAAGTGACGGCTGCAGCTGTTCTCAGCATTTTGTGTAACTCAATAACGAGATAAACGAAACTACACAAAGTCCAATTTTCCGAATTTTCAGATTCTAGATTAATAGCATGCTTGCTCTTATCAATCAGAAACAAAATTAATACACTTCGTTTCACGTATTCTGCAATGCAAGTGTATTACTTGCGCTGAAATAGTTTCATCTTTTTCATTTAATGTTTTATATTTTAGCATTTATTTCTAAATTGTATAAAATAAAATTGACATAAAAGTTTTCATGGAGATGTAGCAAATTCATATTGATATGTTCTTTTCAATATCGATAAAATTTATAAAAATATTCATATATATGTATAATTCTTCAAAGATAAACGTAAAACACAATAACATATATTTGTCTATAAATCTTTTCGGAGTAATCATTTTTATACGTCTCTCGACTA